ATGTATATCAACAATAATATGCCCAATTTTCAGCTCAAGATGAAGGAAAGAGGCCAATTTATGAGTATAAGCACAAACCAGTGCAGAATTTATCCTTCAGATAATGTATACTATAAGACTAAACATTTATTTGGAATTTTAATAAGTCAAAAAGAAAAAAATGTGTACAGTGAAGTGATGTAAGAATTAAGAATTCATTCTTTGCTAGTTTTTTGTTATTTAGTAACTTACCACTTTTAGGGGCTTTCTGCTAGCAATTGGAATACAATCAGAAGAATTTTTCCTTAGCACTTGCAGCATGGAGGGAGGGTCCTAGCACAAGTGGGTAGAGGAGAACTGGTAATGATTTTTCCAGGTATATTCCCAGAGAGCGGATAATTCAAGAGGTAAAGCAATTCCTTTTTTTAAAAAGGCACATATTGAATTATATAATATTACTCTCATCCAGTGTAGCCTTAATTCTAAAGCAATTTATTATCTCATTCTGTCCTACAATATCCTAGCAAAAATTCTGTCACCAATTGGATGCTTATGATTGTCACAAAACTTAGTAAAAATGTGACTGTATATATTTTTAAAAAAGGAAAAGACAAGTGGGGTGCAGAAGGTGATTGAATTCTAAAAAATACCAGCAGTTTTGCCCATCATAAACCAGGAAATGTGTAATGCAGGGGAAATTGAAGCAAATCCACCAAGACCTGAAAATAATGAGGATACTCAGTTCACCTTGGAGAATTTCAGCCAAACAGCGTCCGGAGGTGCATTTGTGGTATCACAAGTCCCAAGCCTTCCCTTGCCTGACCTATACCTACCAAGTCAAATCACAGACCTTGATGCCATACCTCATGAGGATGAGATTGTTCTTACATGGACAGCACCAGGAGATGATTTTGATGTTGGAAAAGGTAAGGACGAAGTGTCATGTGATTTTGACTTAAGTGAAAAGTGCTAATTGCAAAAACGAGGGTGTAAGAGTCAGTGAGGGGAGAATGGTTTTAAATTGATAGCAGGTATTAATTTTATAATCTGATATTTTTCAATCAAGTCACACATTTTAACATGGTCCTACTTTTTATACAGGGAAGGTAACAGTTTGCAGAGCTTAAGATCAGAATTCAGCTTTTATTAAAAAAATGAGTAAGGCTTTTGATATGAGTATTTGCTTTGCATAACTAGACATTGTTGAGAATAAATAAAAGGAAATAAATATGCTGTACTCCAGTCTCTAAATTACTTGTAACTTTTTTCTTAGTTCAACATTGTATCATAAGTGGAAGTATCCTTGATCTAAGAGACAGTTTTGATGATGCTCTTCAAGTAAATACTACTGATCTGTCACAAAAGGAGGCCAACTCCAAGGAAATCTTTGCATTTAAACCGGGAAATATCTCAGAAGAAAATGCAACCCACATATTTATTGCCATTAAAAGTATACATAAAAGCAATTTGACATCGGAAGTCTCCAGCATTGCACAAGTAGCTTTGTTTATCCCCCAAGCAAATCCTGATAAAAAGTATACTACTCCTGCTCCTGACAAAAATTATACTCTCCTATTCCTGACAAAAATTATTCTACTCCTATTCCTGATAAAAATCATCATTCTGGAGTTAATATTTCTACCCTGGTATTGTCTGTGGTTGGGTCTGTTGTAATTGTTAGCATTATTTTAAGTACCACTATTTGAATCTTAACGAGGAAAAAATCTACAAGTAGACCTAGAACAGGGTTTTAAAAAACAAAATATGTTAAGTAAAAGATATTTCTGAACCTCAAAATTCATCCCGTGTATGATCATAAACTCATATAAATAATTTTAAATGTCTGAAAAGGATACTTGGATTAAATAAAACATCTATGGATATGTAAAGAACTGTGTCAAGATTTAAATTTAATAATTTTAATTGTTATTTTATTTGTAAGAATTAGTGATGGACAAAAATCCTTTTTCATATTGATTCCTGGTTGTATATTATTTGATACAACAGTTTTCTGAAATGATATTTCAAATTTCATCAAGAAATGTAAATTTTCTATTTGAGTAGTCAAAATACAAGGAAAGCAAATAAACATTTGGGGGAAAAAATGAATATGGTGTTGGTACTATTAAGTATAAATTGATGATATTCTATTCCTCCAAAGCCTCCAACTATACCCTACAATTGCCAAGGTTATGTTTACTACAGTTCATGGCTATGGAGGATAATAGAAAAAAAAATCAATACCACCTGTCAAACTATAATTTTTCCTGATTTTATTTCAATATAAATATATATCTATCTCTTTTCATTTAAAAAGCCATGCCTATCTGCATACTTTTTGTTTTATTATAGGAAAGAACTCCTGAAGCTACTATCTATAGCCCTTGTTTTCAGATAAAGAAAACTAAATTGTTTTTTTCTTTTTTAAGACACAGTCTCACTCTGTTACCAATTGTTTTTTTCTTTTTTAAGACACAGTCTCACTCTGTTACCAGGCTGGAGTGCCGTGGCACACTCTCAGCTCTGCCTCCCAGAGTTCAAGCAATTCTCCTGCAACTTCCACCTCCCCGGTTCAAGCAATTCTCCTGTCTCAGCCTTCCAAGTAGCTGGGATTACAGGCGCACACCACCATGCCCAGCTAGTTTTTGTATTTTTTTGTTTTTTATTTTATTTTTTTTTTTTGAGATGGAGTTTCGCTCTTATTACCCAGGCTGGAGTGCAATGGTGCGATCTCAGCTCACCGCAACCTCTGCCTCCTGGGTTCAGGCAATTCTCCTGCCTCAGCCTCTTGAGTAGCTGGGATTACAGGCACGCACCACCATGCCCAGCTAAAACATAATATTTTCATTCATCTCTCAGGGTCACAACCATATTGACTAATGAGATCACTTAAAGAGAAAATGTAGGTCCAAAGGAGCAGTTTTATATGGCAGACCACAGCCAGGTCTGCCAGAGGCCCTACTGATGTAAACAAAATGGAACACAGAGCATGTAACAATGGTGTAAGATGGTGCAGAATGAATTCCCCTCATAGAAGGAGGTAGATATTAAGTCTAAGTTTACAAACATACAGTTTCCTTGTTCTTCCAAAGGGTGGTTTTTTCATTTTGAACAGGAATTTTTATGATCATAACTCAGCATCTGGAGGAATTAGAGAGGACCTAAAGAATAGCATCCATACATCTGCCTTCTTATGTAGCATTGGTAGGAATTCTTTGCTATTTGGAAGTAAACAAAAATGAAAGCCATATAAGCTGAGTCCAGGGGTCCCTTTTAACAATCTTCAAATATAGATCTTGACCTGGCATAATGAATTTGGTGTGATTAGCAGGGCTGACAAAAAGGGCCTTGTAGTGTAAATTGGAAGTGGTAAAGGAGCAGGGGAAGAAGTAAGTAGGAGACTCCTGACTCTAGGAAAGTTTGACTTCCTCTCAGAGCATGCAGAAGAAAATGTGCAGAGGAAAATGAGCTGCGCACTAGGGCATTTGGTGACTAAGCTGTTGGGGCAAAAGGTCTATTGGCACTATTAGCTCCTCTAACAGACTGGCACCTGTTCAGCCAGTGCTAATGGCTAGGGATATACAGGAGAAAATGCAGGAAAAGTATTAAGTATAGAACACCTGACCTTTTACCAAGAGGGGAGTGAAGGCCTGAAATTCTATATTGGCACCAGAAATAATATATAACAGTCAGATTTTCCTCATGTCAATTCCACCCATTCATCCCATTACTCTGGAGGCAAAGCCTACCATCCTGGTTAATTCCCTCTCTGATGTTCTAGTGCAATAGCTGTGCTGAGGCGGGTCCCTGTACTGGACTCTCCCCTCCAAGGTCAAGCTTTGATTTTGTCTATTCCCAGATCTGCATCAAGTTGTTAATTATGAATTCTTAAGAATCAAAAAGATAACTAAATGGTTACCATTGTTGTAGTCAGTACAGGCTACATAATTTATGCTGCTCACTGCAAAATGAAAATAAGAGGACTTTGCTTTAAAATTAGTAAGAATTTCAAGACACCAACAGCAAAACATTAAACCAAATTCAGGGCCCTTCTGAGCACAGAGCTCCAAGCAACTGTACAGATGGCATGTACACAAAACCAGCCCTCGCTGTAGTCCAGGATAAACTAGCGATTGTACCTACAGTATGGAGTCTGCGTGGGCTGTCCATTACAACCGCCTAGGAGCATTCATGGTCTATTACTTGATTTAGTTAATCATGAAGAAGTACCACATCTGGGAAGGTAAGTTTAGGCTCATCGCCTCTCACAGGGAATCTGGCAACAGAAAATAAATCTAAGCTATTCCATTAAGAAAGATAGGCAGCCCTGTGTGGGAGAGGACCAATCCTGTACCGACCTCAGAGACTCGAACATCTCCAAGGTTCCTGAATAGAAAAAAAAACCTGTATCACCAGATGTCCAAATCAGTGATACTCCTGGAGGTGGACAGTCTACAGTGTCACAAACTAAACACCTACCCCCAGGGTCTCCCCAAGCTCTAGCACAGAGAGATGGTACACATTCATAGTTGGAACTGCTCAGCTAGGACTGAGAGAACTGCTTTTGAATGCTTCTATTTATACCACTGAGATGACTGCTGTCACATGTCAGAGTACCCCAGAAGAGCATGTGTAAGTGTGGGGACCCAAACCACAGTACCTGATGAACATTTACATAAGTATAAAATGGGACTAAGAGGAGTTCAACTCAAAGCAACACTGAAGTGATCCAGGCCTATTGGAGCCAAAAGAAAAGTATGGTAGCTAGTTCCCAAAATAGTTTCTGGAGATCCACAATTCCAATTATTTGTAGCTTTACATAGAGCTGCATGAATGATGTGCCTTAATTAGCTTAATACAGCAAAAATGATAGACGTTTCCATTTTAGTGTTCTTGGGAACCCTGACCTACCATGTTAAAATACAGCTATGCTAATGAAGAGAGCACTGAAGAGGTTCCAAGAACACATGGAGAAGAAAAGAGGACTACTTAACTCTCCCTGGTTCCCAACCTCTAGATGATTCCATTTACAGTCACCAAACTCTAAGCCTAACCAGCAAAAGAACCTCCCATTTAAGCCCAGATAACCAATAGAATCATGGAAAAAGAAAATGATTGATGTTTTCAGCCACCAAGTTTTGGGATGGTTTGGTCCACAGTGCTAGATTACCAAAATATCCAATAACTTTATTGGTCAGGGTACTGTCAGGGAAACAGGCCACTATAAGTATTACAGAGTAGGGAATTTATTTATTATAATAATTAGGCTGAGGAAATAAAGCACTGAAGAAAGGAAAAGGAAGATAGGAAAAAAAATCTAACAAGCCTATCTGAAATGCTGAGGTTTGTGTTGGTTGTTTAATGTCGGGATCCAGGCGTGTCCAGGAACTGGAATGGGACCATGAAAAGAGCCACTGTAGAAGTCTGTGGAAGACTGTTACCTGTGCATAACAAAATCTCTGTGAGTTTGTTGCCAAGAGTCTTGTGGTGGGCCTAGGATCACTGTCAGTCAGCAATGTCAGCATTCAGAAAGAAGAGTGAGAAATGGAGTAGAGAGGAGCACAGATGCCGGCCCATCTGAACCTGCTTCCTACTGCCTCTTCTCATTTCTCCTGCAGACAGTTATGGCTGCTGTTTTACTTCTGCCTTCCACATTTTGTACGAATCATTTTTAACCAACTCTAACCCAGATCCATATGGTTCCTGAGAGATGTAGTTTCAGTTTATTCAACTTGCCTCAGCAAAGCCACACATTAAGTGAAATAAGCCAGACATGAGAAGACCATATATTCTCACTTATATGTGAATCCAAAAGCATTGTGCACACAGAAGCAGAGAGTAGAATGGGGGTTACCAGAGGCTAAGGTAGGAGGAATAAATAAGTTTAAGAGGTCTACTGTACATCATGGTGATTATAGTTATAGCAATATACTATATAATTGAAACAAAAATAATAGATTTTTAACTAAGAAAAAAATAATTTGATGAGCTAATGCACATATTAAATAGCTTGATTTATCCATTCCACACTGTATACATATACAGACTTACCATGTTTTATTGGATTTCACTTTATTGTGCTTCACAGATACTGTGTTTTTTACAAACCGTCAATGACAGTACTAATGGAATTGGGCTCTGATATTGGTAATTGCTACCTCGTGAAATAGAGGAACTCAACAGAACACAGTTTGTTACAGCAACTCAAAAAACATGTTTTTTCATGTTTATATCCTAGTGAATTGAGACTGTTCAATAAACTGGTTTCACGGCAATGATACTCAATATCATCACTGCAAAAACTTTGTAAGTTTTTGAAAAACAAACAATGACAAACCCACTGCTATACAGACCTACTCGCTAGGCGCCAAATTCCTAATTTGCCTTTCCACTTCCTTCCCTCTTATACAGAACACTTTTGTTCACCTTACCATCAACCATTCTCCCTCTTTCCAGCAAATGTCTAGTCATTTCCTACACTGAACTTCTGGGCAAGTCCTTGTCTTTCTCCCCAGTCATGTTCCTCGTACCATCACCCTCTACTTTCCTGGCACCCAGCATTACCTGCCCACTGGTACCTTAGATATGCCTGATTTCTCTATAGTTCTGTCTTTTCCTTTCACATAACCATGAATCTCATCTAGGGCTATCATATTACAGAACTTTAAGGGAATCCATGCAAATCATACTTTCTACAAACGGTGCCCCTGGAGTTTCCCAAAGCACAGTCTCCGCACCCTCATGTGGTAGTCTTACTCTCAGAGCTGACACATGAAAAAAATAAGTATTCTTCATAAATGTCTATATTGTTCCATGACACAGGAAGTCATCTTAAAGCCTTAGCATCTGTAATAGCATTTTAGTAAATATACCTGTTCAGATAATATTTGTTGCTAATTATTTGATTTTTAATCCCAATACCCTGTTTTCTTTAATAATCTGTGACGATTAGCAAATTCCTTCCTGATGCATTTACCCTATGAAGATTATAAGCAAAGTACTACATATTTTATGTCCTGCTGTCTGTCATCCTTTGGTGATTAGGAAACAGGAAGTTGCTTTAGAGGCATATGGAAAAGACTGAACAGTAGGAGTT